GTCCGGTGGGAGCTGCGGCGGTCTGACAACTTGGCCGCACGGTGACTAGCTGCATTTTATAGACCTTGTCTGTGCTGTCCATTCATTTGCTGGTTCACGTTGTTTTGCATAAACACTTTTACACACTTGCATATAGTTCAACATGTGTGTGTGTGCTTTTTTTTTATGGAACTTCTAAACTTGCTGGCTCATTGAATTCAGAATGAAACGGTAAACAAGTTACGGACCGCAGCATTGTACTTTGAGTTAACTGTTTAGGCGGCTGCTGTGAGGCAGCTGAAAGAATGTGCTAAATTGAAAGATTTGAGAATGCAATAACAGCAGAAATTCCACACTGAAATAGCCAACGTAAGCATACATTGGCTTGTGCATGTGTGCATGTATGAATATGACGGTTGCAGCAGCAACACGTTGACGTAGCCAGCGCTTTTCAAGGCAACTGCCACCGCAAAAAAAAGAATAATATATACAAAACGAAGTAAAGCCTAGAGCAAAAAGTCTCGGTAGAAATCTTAATAGAGTAACAATGCATTAATTCATTTGTTCGCTGAGTTTCATTTGCGAATACATCACGAATTTATTTTTTTTGTGTTTGCTTTGCATTCGTTTGCCATAAAACCGCAGCAGTTGACCAACGGTATGCCCGTGCAACATGGTGCAATTTCAGGTCCGACAAGCTCCGACACTGCGGGTTGTGCTTAGGCAGCAGGTTCAAGTCGCCACTAACACTTTACCAATATGCATTGTTTTCAGCTGCAGCAACAAAGTCAACGGCGCCGCGACGTTGTTTCTCCCGCTGCAAAAGCTCTGTTGCTTAACGCTGATAAATATGTACATAAGGCTGCATTTGCGCATGTGTACATTGTCGGTGTTTGTCAAGTTTATGTGGCACCCAACATTTTTCGTTGAGCATTAGAGCTAGTCGCACAATTGTAGTCCTTTTTTCGATAACAGGAAAGTGAAAGAAGCAATCTTGAACACACCCAAACGTGAAGTAAACCTTTGAATAAGCAGACATTTCTTGTTCCTCATACATTTTCGTTTCACTGCTTTTTTGGAACTCGAACCAAAATTATTATGTACACATAAAGTTAAAAATGGGTTATTTCTAACCAAGTATAATAAAAACAAAACGCAGCGAAGAACCTCTAAATACATCCTGCCGAGCTTAAAGTATCTTCAAGTACAGCTGTTCAGCTTTTGTCATACTTTGTGCTATGCATACATACGCATACAAATGCTGTACATACAGACAGGCTTAAATGTATTGCGCGTCTATTTTGTGAGGCGCTTGACAGCTCGTAATAAATTAAGTTCGTGTGGCAACAGAACTTAGAAAATGGGGCTTTCCGCTGTGCACAAAGAAAATTGCGCAGCTCTTTTCTCTCAAACAATGCATATCACTGTCTGAACGTCTTTGTAGACAAAGCATTTTCGCGCAACCCTCTGGTAGCCTGTCTTGCCGACAGCCTTGCTGTCACGTGTGACATAAAATTCACATAATGATATGAATTAGAGTTGCCTGTTGCAAATGGCGCATGTGGAAAGCAAACGGCAGCTGCGCAAAATCCAACAAACGTCAGTAGCTGCTAGCGCGGATCAGTTGAGGGGATAAAGTGCGCTAAAATGCATCTACAATTTTGAGAATTCGCTACTGACACGCTACCATAGCCTCCCTTGCCACCACCCCACTACTAATTACGGCATAATACTTGAGTATCAAGTGATTTTACGGTGTTGCTATCTTGTATACCTATTTTAGATATAAATATATTGTATGTATGTATGTTCATCTAGTTACCTTCAATTGGTATAATTGCTATGAGTTTTGTTGTTGCTATGATTAAGTGCAACATTAGCGATGCTAAGTTTAAATTGTGAAACAATCCAGCTAAACAGTCCTTGTGTCACGGAAAGTTGGGCTTCTGTTTTGTCATGGGAGAGGAAATTGAGTTTTTACATAAATTGTACTGCTCCATGAAGAAATTGTGATACGAAAATTAAAAAAATATATATATAAATATTATGTTTGGGACATAACAGATAAGTTTCCGGCAACTTTTGGGCAAGAAAAGAAAATGTTTAGAGTATGCGGAAATATTTGCCAGTGACTAAGCATACTCACCGAACATCCGAAAATACGCGCTTTCGACAAGTTGTCCGCAATACTACTGGGCGGTATGCCCAAATTAGGTGAAGTTAAAACTTTGTTTCCTGCTGTAATTAGTGTTTTTGCTTTTAGTCAGCTGTCAGGTGTGGTTGCATGGCAGCGCGTCTGCCTCCAAAGCCACTCAGTAATACGATGCGAATTTCACTCGGTTGTCGTCAGCGCTTACATAAATGCACTTATGTATACATATGCATATACATATACTTATATACACTTACACATACTGTAAAATGATGCAGATATTAAAGTAAAACGCGAAAAAGGGAAAAGTATTAAATTGCAATTTTGCGAACAAAACTGAACGATTCGCTGAATGACTGGATGACAGTGTGTCGGCTTATTCAACAGACTATTGATGCAACAACTTTAAAATTGCAAAATAATTATTTGCTGTTTGATTTAGTTACTTTTCACTGAAATTATTAATAACTATATATTTTATTATAAAGTCGTTTGGACTTGGGCGATATTATAACCGCAAGAATTACAAAGAATTATATATAGAGACCTATACTCTCTTATACAAATCGCATGCGTCGCAGTTGTTATTTAAAGTGTCTGTGTGAAGTGGAAATAAACTCGAATTTTTAGCGCATACTGTTTATCAGCATAACGTCAGTCAGTTTGTGTGTTTGGCAATTGTTGCTGACGCTAAAAATAATTGCTTTTTAAGTAAAAGTATTATAATTTTGTACACTACAAAAATAACCAAAACAAATGTATAAATAAAACGAAAAATTAAAATTAAAATAAATTGAATTGTTGTTTAAAATACGGCTCGTACTGCCTCTTTTTGGTCAGTTTAATTAGCTATTAACGCCTGAAATGAAATTTCCAAGTTCAGGCATATGACTTAACTATGCACATTTTTAACTTTCGCAGCCGAATCCAAAGTTTTTACATAGTTTTCACTTCTCATTTTTATTTTTTGCTTTTGATTACACAGATTGAATTGAAATGCTGCTCATAAATCACAGAAATAAAGTTGGTGCAAATTTAGCAAAAGCAAATGCCACTGTACTCATACAAATTCTCGCCACCCCGTCCGTTGGAGCCCGCACGCAAGCGTAGCCCAAAAGATTTCCGTTTGCTGATTTGCACCACATTTGTTTGTCTTTCACAATTGTCTCAATTTATATTTGGATTAAATTTGTATCCTTCACTTAAACTTCACACTTTCACATAATTGCAGTTGTACTTGTGATTGTACGTGAAACTGCTGTTTATGGAGATTTTAATATTTAAACAAATGTTGGCTTCGTATGTAGAAAAAGCACAGAGTAAATTTTGTATAGCTTGCTATTGTAACAATATTTTACACACACTTTTCAACTTCAAGTGTCCATCCATTAAAGGTCGCTTGAATGAAAACAATTTTCGCCGCATACGATCGCGTTTGTTGCATAAAGCGATTTTGTAAATAAATTTCTTAACGATTGATTGCCTATTCTGTTACTGCCTTTCTCGTTTAACATAGTAAACACAGTGACCAAGAAAGCATACAATGTCAGACAACATACCCTATCAACCGTATAACGTGACACTCGTTCGAAAACTGAAATCTGTTCGAAAACCCAACTACGACTTGCTGGCAGTAATATGAACGCTGTGTTGATCATATGACAAGAGCAGTGCTTTTGGGGAGTTCAGTTAGTGAGCTTTCAACTAGAAGTGCCGAACGTGCAGTCTAATTACAAGCTGCTTTCCGAGTGTAGTAGTATGTGTGTGTTGAAACAGCTGTTCAGTGATCGCGCTCAACTGTGTAGTGTTTGTAAATGCAGTCACTCTCTTAAATGAAACTCGTTTCTCTGTTTAATCTCTTTCGATTGGAATGATAAGCGTTTTGATCAGCTTACGCTTTTCTACAGAGAGACGAACATAAACAGCTGTTGGTATGCGTTCGCATACAGTTCGCAGCCGTTAAGTAGATTTTTAAGTCTTTATGGGAATTATGACTTGCTTTGTATATCAGCTAGATGCGGCTGCATCAATTCAAAATATCAGCCATTGTTTCAATCTGTTAAAAAATTCATACATATGTATATTGGGTATTCTTACATCATAAATTTCAGTGCTGGCTTTCCCTTTTTTATACAAAAATTTCAAAAAAAAAAGTTTTTCACTTATTTTTGAACAACCTTTTTTTTCAACTACCCCGAATTTTTTGACTGATTAAATTAAGCTTAAAATCTTACCTTTCGAACACTATATGGTGTGATTTGTAGCACTGGAGATATACGACTGCAACGACATCTATTGACAAAATACGATAATACTTTTTCGACTACCCAATAATTATTGTGAGAGTGAAACAAATCATTTTTGTTGCCATTTCATTCCGCCAAATGTTTTTACTCTAGCAGCTGGGTGCAATCAGTAAACTGGCCCTCTAAGAATTTTGCATAAACATGACCTTGTCAGTAAATTCATTGATGCCTCCACTAAAGCTTGTGTGCGTGTGTTTAGATTTGTAAGTTATGCTTGGTTGTGCATGCATACATATGTATGTACCACCACATAACTGTGTTGCAGTTAAGAGACAGCTGTTAGTGTTTTGGTTGCTTGTCAGCTTTTTGACATTTCTCTACTTCTTAGAGAGCGCTCCCTGGAAGCGAGAGAACAAGAGTTCATTGGAAGCGTTATGAGTACGTTGCACAGTTGTTGTTATGTGTCTGTTGGTTAATTGAAATGCAAACAAAGCTTAAGTCAAACTGATTTTTTCTTCAAGTAGTTACACTTTATTTTTGCTTGTTTGATTATTAAATATGCGCTATATACATATTCAATAATTATTAATATATTAATAAAGTAAAATTTTCTTTAGTGTATGTATGTTAATCTTATATATTTCGAAATATTATACTTGATCATAAATTTATTAAAGACACCCACACGAACAAAGTGCTAAACAGTAAAAATACCAAAAACTCTCCACCAAGTTGCTACATAACATCTATTCCGTAAAGAATTTAAGTGCTTCCAATTAAGGAATGTTTTAAAAAAATTTCAATGTTAAAGAATTGCTTTCAAATATTATCGTTACCGAAGTTTTCTAATAAAAAAAATATCCATTTTGATTACAGCAATATGATTTTCTCTTAAATAGTTTTATGCATTATTCTTCCCTTATCTCTATAGTTATTTATTCATAATAAACAGTTGTACTGTTTTTATAGCTATGTTTTTAGGTTTTTCATTCGTGGACTGTTTCCAATTTTAAATACCGTAAAATTTGAATTAATTCAATATCAATGCAGTTATGTATTCAAAATACCTAATAAATTTGAAATATTTTGTTTTTACCGATTTTTTCGTTAAAGCTTAAACTTGAGTTTTTGTTTAATTGTCTTTAATTTAAAAATTCGAATGAATGTCCGAGTACTTCTCTGCATTTATAAAGTAATTGAAATTTATAATATATTTCAGTTGCATTCGAATATCATTAATAATAAAATGTTATGTATTATCATCTTCTTTGAACTTTCCACAACTTAGCGTGTAGTATTAAGCCACCGTGTTCGCCGGAAAGCTGCGAAATCTATTAGCTTAAAGTTATTAAATACGCTTGTCTAATTGATTACTTATAGAAGCTGAGGATGGCACTTTTTCTATTTTCATTATACTTCTGGTCTGGCATTTTGCACACTTACAAAAGCTCAATGAAACCCCTAAACTGCAGAAAAAGCCGCAAACTACATATTGCATTTACTTTATTACCGGATTAGTTGCCATTACTATTTTCATGAATATTCCAACCAAAGTTTGCTTCACCGCGCCTAATCCCAAAAATCAGTAAACAGCATAAAATGTTATATGAGATTGAATTAAATTATTTTATCTGTAATTTTCCGTTTATATGTAAACTTTTTGTTACTACTTTCGTCTTCATTTATAGTAAACCTTCAATGGCAGGAAGTTGCTGAGTCTTTTAGTGACGTATGTGCATGTGCAATAAATTATGGACAAGCGTGTTATCACTGCACAAGAAGCGCAAATAAATGGACCGATTTGCATTAAATTGGACAAAGTTCTATACCTACTATTTATTTGTTTTCTGCGTGCATAATCGTATATAAGTAGAACCACCTAACTTTATTAAAAAATACTTAAAACCGCATGTACAACTTGTCGGATTTACACGCACCCACACACCCGAGATTTATTGTTAAGTGCACCGAAAATAACCTATGCTTTGCTTAATAAAATATTCCGAATTTAAAATGTTCCTAACGCCGATTTATTTGGTAATTTCTGTGTAATATGATTACGTTACCGATCGCTTGCTTATGCTCTGTCTTCACTAAGTCAGTTTTTGACGCTTACAAATCTATCAAAATACGTTTAATACTCTACAAATATCCAAACATTGTACCACTATTCTTTCGAAGAGTCAACTTGTCTAGAAATAACCGGTCCTACTGAATTACAACAACAACTACGCTTACGTTCTACAAAAAATATTCCAATACTTTGCTTTCTCGATTATTTCGCTTTTTTTAAGTCTATAGAGGTCGCTTTGGAAATGATATCTACCACTAAGGAAATTGGATACATTTAGCCCGGGACGTGTAGCGGTGGAATCGTGCGTATAGCTCTTGCATTCATCACCCATGACGACATTTGTGTGTGTAAAATTAGCTGGCAACTACTTCCGAGACAGAATTGGCGCGCCGTCGTTTAGTGATCTGCTTCCACAGACGGCGATTTAGCGAAGGTTTATCCTACAGGGGAAAATAAAATAATTATTTTGAAAGGACATTTTTTTTACCAAAATGTTATTTTACATTATCTTTTCGTGGTGACATTTGTACCGCAAGGCGATGGACTGGTGTACCACTTGCGTTAGATTCACTTAGTGAGCTTTGAGAACAGTTCGGAGAAGTCGGGCTTTCTGAGTTGCGTCGTTTTATGAAGTTAATTCTAAACAGAAAATATATACCTACTTATTTAATGCTTTCTAAAAATTTACACTATTATTGGCTTACTACTTACAGTCGAGATCCTTTGCCCGCTTCAATCAACGCACTCTCATCACGCCCGATCTTACGTGATCGCACATTAGCAGTCTCAATCTCCATGCCCATCGAAGAAGTACTCTTCCTCGTCGCTTGAGGACTTGTCAAGGAATCTCTGTTCATTGTTTCCATTGTCATTGTGGTTGTTGTCGCCGTCGTCTTCGTCTTGACTCGTGAGCCACTCTTCAATTGAGACATGCAATATGTCTTCTCGCGTCTCGCTAAGATTTCGAGATCGCTTAATTTGCTCTCGTCGCTGCTGTAATTGTAGTTTTTGCTGCTTTCGTCGCCTTTTGCGTAGGCGCCGCTGTTCTGATCCGCAGATACAGAATTGCTCCATGTATTTCGATTTGGCAGCAGGGGTTGTGGAGCGCCGCCGACGCGTGCGCCACCAACCAAACCTGTCGTTGGAGAAGTGCTGACGTTGCCGTAATTCGGACGTGGACGTCGGTTCACAGTCGGAGTGTCCATCTTCGAGTTTCGCTGTTGAGAGAACGATATGACAGCCTCTTTTGGCTGAACGCGATTCGTTGCTGAACGACTCAATAAATCGCGACCCGTCCGTCGCTGAAATGTGGATAGGTCGTGCCTGCAGAAAAACATTATAAAATATTATCCCAACTATACAATCAACAAATGTCCTTTGTGTACCCCAATATTCTTGTTAGATCCGGACCAGGATCGTAACAAATTAAGTCTTCGTCGCCGAGAATGTCGTGATTGAGTGCCAATCGCATTTCTAGACGCGGACTTAAGCCCGAACCAATGGGTGTTGGGACAACGTCCGATTTTGAACTTTCGTTGCCGCATCGCGCTACCGTTGATTTCATCACTACCTCGGTTGGGATTTTCTGTAACGGATGCGTTTGTTGTTGTCGCTCCCCCTGCAATGACTCCTTCGTCGTCTTCGAAACTGTTGTTGATAATCTGGAGGCTGCCTTGCCGGTGCCTGATCCCAGCAGTGATGTCTCTATTATCGTTGAAGACACCCGCTTTGGTACGGCTGCGGCGACAGCAGAACGCAGATTGCCACCGGCTGCTTTCTGGTTCGCTGTCACCTTCCCCATCGCTGCCAACGGTGCTACTTTTGTGATAGGCATAGCGGCTGCGCGCGTTGCATTTGTACTTTCGTCGGCGGTGCTTACATCCGCTGAGTAGCCAACGTCAGCAGAAGCGCCAGAACTTCGTTGAGGTGGTACTGGCTGTTGAAAAGAAACATACATTTACTGTTTTCTATGAAACTTTAGTGTGATGTTGATTGAATCAGTGCTTACCGCCTTCGGCATGTCTATGCCACTTGTCTGCAAATTTGTTTGTGTTAGTAATAGTCGGCGCGGTGGAGGCGGCGGCGGTACGAATTTCGCCGGTCGTACAGTTGTTGTGGATGTAGTTTGGGTACTCCCACTGCCGTTGTTGCAACTGCTTTTCACGATACTGGCGCTCGCGCTGTTGATTGTTGTAGAAATCGATGAGGGAGGCGTCTTGATCATCTGCGTCGTCGTCATCATCATAGTAGTAGTACTCCTCATCGTCGCTTTCATCTCCACTTGCATCGTGACAGTCTGCTGTGACGCCGCCTCCAATTCCACTTCTACTTTCGCCGATGGCGGCGATGTTGCTTTCATTGGTGTTGCCGAAGTGGCTCTCACTGTTGGTGGACTGCTGGTAATGCTGGTTGTACGCAGTGGGACCATTGTACGCTGTTCGAGTAGGTACTCGCAAGATGAGGCCTTCAGAACACCGACTGGCAGAGCTACCTTGCTGGCCATATGAGGAGGTTGGGATTGCGCGAACGCCTGCTCCCAGCTCGTCGGGATTGATGACGTCGGCGGTGGAATATGACCATGTATATGTGGTGCCTTCGGGGCGTATGGCATTGGGTTCTCGTTCTCCTCCTCCAGCTCCAATTCGTAGCTCTTCTCGTTCGAGAGATCCTCGTCGCTTGAGCTTCCAGCTGAATCCTTTAAATAGTGGCCATTTGTCGTTGTTTCCCCCTACCAATTGTTGGGAATAGAATTCAACTAATCAATTCTGGTTTATAGCGTACTATAAGTTTGTTGTGGTTGGTGTGTAGTTGGTTCTGGAGAGTCGTGGATTGTTGGTGGACGAGTGTTATTGCGAATCGCAAGGACCGCCAATGGAATGACGATGATAGTGTGGGAATTAGTGATTAGTTTGCATGGAATTTTCGATGAATGTTTAACATAAACAGCGAATGTCAGCGAATGTTACTATTTTGGACTATCTGTTTGTGTTTCTTTAATACACGTACTAATGTTATTTAATTGAAAGATTTTTAATTCTTAACACTTTTGGATTTAGCTGTCCGTTAAGGTTTGCGTATACTATGTCCGAACCCATTCCAAGAAGAGTTTTAGTTTTTTGTCTATTTTTTGGTTGTTAGTAGGAAGTAATGGTTGCTGTTGTTTGTTGTAACTTTTTGTTTGTTGTTGTTATAAGCAATTAATTTTTGAAAATTGGCGTAGAGCAAATGTCATTTCTTGATTTGTATGAATTGACAATGTTGCAAGTTGTGCTAGAGCTTCACTAGCCGCACTACGACTTTCTAGAAGACCAAAACACATACACATATACATACGTCCATACATACATAAACATATTGAGCAGTGTGACGCAATGATAAAATGGCAAATGGCAACATGAGTGCATACATCAATCTGTCTCTTATACACATCTAGATGTGTATAAGAGACAGCATATACATACGTCCATACATACATAAACATATTGAGCAGTGTGACGCAATGATAAAATGGCAAATGGCAACATGAGTGCATACATCAATAGGCAACAGAAAGCATGAAGTTGATGGAGTATGAAAAGAAATAGATGTAATGAAGAAAGAATATAAGAATCGAATAAAAGCGAAAAAGACATACGATAAAACGTGATTCTATTGTATAAAAAATAAATGAAATATTTCCAACGGCAATTAATAGTAAATGTCGATAACTGTTATTGGTTCACTACTAAATATAAATTACAAAATGTTCGGAATTATTTGAAGCTGTGTGCCTGTGATTCAACAAAACGCACAATATTTACTTATACATATAAGAAAATTGATAAAACTTCTTGATTTCTATATTGAAACTATACATGCAAACACAAAAAGCCGACCCACCTTTTTAACATCTTCACTTTCCTGCTGGGTCTTTTCTTCATCGCTTTCAGTCTCCTCCTCAAAAAGTGGCTCTAAGCGACGTCTACAGCATTGATGAATGGAATTTTTATTTGATTTTCAAATAATGAATTTCAAATGATTTAATGAAGTAAATTATAACAGAGATTACAATGAGATTTACAAACTAGTGATCATTCTGATATACTAAAAGTAAACTTCTAATTGTATATAAATAATGCAATTGTTATAAAAATCTATATCAAATGATATTGTACTCGTATTTCTACACCGAATATGAGCTATATTTGAAATCCAGCTTAAATTTTTGATCAAACATTTATACATAATATACATACATATGTGTTCTAGTTGATCCTAAATATCGCAACGATTAAGGTGTGACTATATCCCAACTATGTGTGACGTTATGTATTTTTTTTTGGTTCTTTTTTTTTTTATAATTTATACGTTTACATGTAAGAATATAAAATATTTGATGCGTATCTTGAATACAAAACTTTTTATTTACTTTCAAATCCAATTTATATTCAAAGTACTAGTAGCACTAATAAAACTACACAGATATTATGAATAAACTCTTTTGGTAATAAATTTATTATCTCTGTGACTCGATCTCTTTAATACAGTATATCTACAACTAATCGAAAAGCATACAGGTACGTGTTAGAACTTACCGTGGCAATAGTCCTCGAATAGTGCTTGCAGTCATTGGTGGCGCCATGAGTAGCTCGTCCATCATTAGCTCGGTATCGTCGTCATCATTTAGTGAATTGCTTGACTTGGTAGGCGACTAAAAATGAGAAATAGTGCAAAGTAGTATTAGAGTATGTGTCACTCACTTCTTTTTTACTTTCTTACTGAATATGTATTTTCCGAGTTTACTAGATGCATGTCGTCATTGTCTCCACCACTTGTCGGCGTTCCCCATACTTCCTCGCCTGATGTGGCACCCGAGGTGCATTCGTCGGCTTGTTCGTCTGTTTCGGAAGTAGTGGCAGCAGGTGAGGAAGTTGTTTGCTCTTGATTCCACCTTCCTAAATATTTATCGATAAATGCTCGTGATTCCTCGAAAAACGACATTTTGTTGCCGCCCACCAGTCCGCTTGCTCGACTTGTCCAGACACCACCCACTAGCACACATGATCCGCCAGCCACCACTTCGTTGCTATATACGCTAGGCTTGCTAGTTTCACACATATTGTCTACCGTATCGGCACGTGCTTTATCGTCCAGATCGTCATCATCTTCTTCAGTATCGCCAGGCACTTCGCTTTTATCATCATCATTTTCTAGTTCGTCTATGTCGCCGTCCATCCGATCATCTGAGGGAAGTTTCTCCAGGCTGGACATGGTGCCGTAACGCCGCAGGGCATTGCTCATCGGACGATAGGGCGGTTCTTCGTCTAGTGGCGATTCATCACAAGAGTCTTCTGGAATATTTTCAATAACCGCCTGGCCGGGGATGTTGTTCAACTGCAGCTGAGTTGTTGTGCTAGTTGTTAAATTTGTTCCGCTATTATCCCAAACATTCGTCGAAGTCATTGTGAGCAACGCCTCAGGCGTGGGTGGTACAACAGCGATAGTGGGCACGAAGTTGCTGTCATACATGGAGGCGGATGGGTGTGCTGGTGCTGATGTAGATGTTGGTGTCGGCAGCGGAGTAGTGGGTGTGAGTTTTGTATCAAATTGTCTCGTCGTTAAACCGCTAAATTGGAATAATGAGTGCTCATCCTTTGCTGTAACCAACGATTTTCCACCACAAACGCACTTACAGTACTTGGCCGTTTTTTCAGTTATTATGCTATTCGCTGACCCCTGCAACTGCAGTTGCCGTGGCATTTGGGGTGACTGCTTTGGCGAATCGATCAGTTTGCAAGTTTGCTGTTCCACCTCATCTGGACTGAGTGTGGTATTTTCAAAATCTGCGGGTGTGCATTGACAATTGCATGCTATGAACCGAGACGCTGAGGCTGGTGTGCTAGGTGACTTTGGGGATTTTACTATGACAGGCATGTGTGGAGATTTGGGGCTTTTCGTTGTAGTGCGACTCGTATCTACAAAATGCGCGCTTTCCTGCTCTTGCATTCGATCCTGCTCCTGTGTACGGATTATTTGTGCTCTTTCTGTAATGGTAACAGTGGTTTTCACCTGTTTGTCGGCGGCTTCCTTTGCTGTTTCCTTCGTAGCAGTTTGTAATGTAACCCGGTACGTTCTTGGCTGTGGTTGTGGTTTTTTGTCGTTAGCTGCTTTGTTTTCATTGTCTCTATTACCGCTAGATGAGCTCGATAAACAATATCCATTCATAAATACCGTCTGTTGAATATGTTGTGGGTCCTGTATTCGAGGCATAGGCTGTGGTCCAGGCTTGAAATCCAAACCTTTAGCCTCACGTTGTTCGTCTAGAATTCGTAATTTACTGAAGCTGTCGGTGAGTCGGTGTTGCATTTCATCGACACCGGCGACTCCACTGCTGCTACTTGGTATTCCACCGATGCTATCGTCCGTAGCCTCTGATTGCGAAAGATCGTCAGTTATTAATTGCGCCACATCACTTTCGGTATCACCGGTCTCCCGTTTACTACTGCTAGCCACTACCTTGGATGAGTGTTCGCTGGGCTGTTCGCCCGTGATAGTACTCGATGATATGCTAGTGGTGCTGCCAGCCTGACTAGCATTTCCATTGAGTCTGCAGCAGCGATTGGGTGACGACTGGCTATGTTGCACCTTCAGTGACGTACACACCAGTCCGCTGCCACTACCACCACCTACACTACCTTCGGCGGTCATTGCGTCAATGGCCGAGCGTTGCGTGTGTGAGGCGGGCATAGCGGGTGACATTGTCTGTTGAAGACCCAAAGCGGCTTGTTGGCAATTCTTATGACAATGACGACAGACTGCTAGCTTATCAAGCACAATGGGACTAGAGCGTACAGTGATCTGGCAATGATTTGAAGTATTATGCATGAAAAATGAAAGCATCAGTGAAGTGCACACCTAAGCAAGAACTTGATGAACTAGCAAAAGTCAAATGAGACTTACCTGACTACCTGAAGTGGTGCTGTGAGATTGGCTCAACTGACTTACGTTCTCTGAGTAGGCATCATTCATGCTGAGCTCTTCCACTCCACTTAAACGTTTGCCGCCGAAATTTGGCCGGGCCTTCATACTACCATTTTCTTTGGCCAAATTTAATTCTTTGGTGCGCTTCTCAAGCTGCTGCCTTGTCCAAAAGGTTATACGCTCATCTTGATCATTTTCCGTATAGAGTAAATGCTCCTCTTCATGACTGATGTTCTCGCGTGAACGCTGCGCTGCCAGTCTCGCTTGCTCCTGTTGTTTGTCCAGCTGACCTTTCATCCAGTTGGCAAGATGAAGAGCATTCGACTTGGAAGTGCCAGTCTTGTTTAGGATACGACACTTTTCATCGATTAACATTTCGATTTGCTCCGATGCGTTAGAATGGCGTTTCTGCTGGGTGAAGAATACAAATATATACACACATAGAGGCATAGTAATTGGGAAGTGAAGTGTAGAGGAAAAGTCGAGAATTAATGAGTTAATTTACTCAATGCCCAAATTGATTGCTACACTTTTGCCTCGAACGACGCAAACGTTAACAAAGCGATGCTATTTTCGCTGATATTCAAAAGACTTAAGAAACAAACTCGATTTAATGAAGATTTATATTTTTGCTATAAAATGGAAAATTGTGATGGTCTCATTTATCTTTCGTGCAAAATAACTACTTTACAAAGAAAACGTAAACAATTTTAAAATTGTTTCTACTGAACTGTAGGTGAAAATTATTGCATTTGAAATTAATAAAAAAAAAAAAAATAAAAACAATTTTAACCAAACTATTAAGCTCTAAATATTTACAAATGTGTCACATTCTCGACTGGATAATCTTTGATTAAAAACGCTTGTAATAAATAATGTTTAGGAGATAGAATAGTTTCGATAGATCTGCTTTGTGCTCATACCAATATTGTTCAATATCGATTCAAGCAGCGGCGCACAAAATCAAAAAAGGAACGAAAAAGGTATTTCTGCGTAAGAAATGCTTTTTTTATAATAATTTTAGGAAATGGGGTCCATCACAACTTTCAATTTTATATAGATAATTGTTTGGCTTCTTGTTGATTGCAGTGCCTGATTCATTAATTGATTTTATGTAGAAAGGTTTACTTTTAATAAAAACAAAAAAAAAATACATTTAATGTAAATATTGATAAAGAAATGGAAATACTGCCGAATTTTCAGTTTTGAAATTAGTTTATTTGGCTTTGGGAAGTTTCATCAAGGTAGAGAGGCTTATTAGGAATTCTAAATTCTAAATTAATATGAAAACGAAAACGAAGAGGCGTGTAAAGTGTAACAGCAGCGAAAACTAAAGCACAACACTCAAAACGTCGAAATAAATTCACAAGCGTTTTTATTCAAAGAATCATATTTTGTTTTATTTATTTTCATTCATAAATTTCTTCAATTTCAATTGCAATATTTTTTCTTGCTTCTTTAGTAATTCTATATGTTCAGTCCTTTCTTGCGCTGATAGAAGTTGCAATGCATTACTGTAAATGAAAATCACTTACTCACTCACTAATCACTATTAATACACTGTGAATGAAGAGATGGTTCTATAAATATTTATATAATGAATTAAGCTACATTGTTTAAACTACATGAGTGTCTGATGATAATATTTTACAAGTATTTCTATGTAATTATATGCTTGTGGTGTACTATGTACTTTGGTATGTCTTCGTATGCTATGTAATCGTATTGCTTACTAATGAAATTTATAGCGATTTTTAATATTAATATTACTATTTGAAACTTGCCAAGCGACTAGAGTGTAGTTTTTAATTTTCAAAAGTCGATGTATGTAATTATTTAAATAACTGTAAAATAATTTCGTTTCGTTAAGGATTGATTGTAAATTGCATATATTTACTTTTACGCTTAGACTTACATACACTCAAAGTATGTATGTATATAATATTGTAACTGTTTATTAGTTTGCAGTTTCTTGTGGATTTTTCTTGCTTTCTTGGACAACGATTTTATATTAATTATGTTTTGTAAATTTGTACTAACTATAAACAAATTTGAGCATTGTTATTCAAATGGAATAATTCTGATTGCAAAAGGAAGTATTTGGAAGCAGTTTTGTGGTGGATTTGGATTTGGCTTACTTTTGTAATTGCATTTAAATATTAGTTGCAATGACATTTACCTACAACCAATAATATTTTAAAGAAAAATCATGAGTTTATGGAGTTTTCAACAGTTGTGTTGGCTTTTCGATATAACTTTTTAGCAATCTTCTGCGTAAAACAGTTAATGATTGTTAAGTCAAATTGTCGGCTATAATAAAAGTTACAGCGCCTTACCAGCGAGGTCTTGATTCTATTTTTGTGCTAATCTGACTCGTGTGGTCTTCTAGTCTAAAAATTTGTTTTTCATAATTCTATGTTCCTATATTCGAAAATATCTTCCTAAAAGGATTTTTCGAAATACAAATTATTTCCGAAGGTTTTGCCGTGTTAGTGTTGTAGCAACTCGATCGTTAACGTTTGTTAACGTAATACTTTGAACACTTTTTTCTCGAAACTTCTTGTTTTGAGGTTGTTGACATGATATCCTGAATTCTACTTAATCGATTCCTTTGAAATTTGATAAACATCTTTGTTATACATCTTTTTTTGCGTCTGCCTCCGCTTTTGGAAAATTTTAATTTCAATTATTTTTAAAAGTTCGAAAAGATCAAAAAAGGCGTAAAAACCTCTTTTTATAAGTCGACGCCATTTATGACTTTTTTCTTGGTTGAAGACCAATCCGATAGTAACTCATTTGCTAGTGACGAATTATAAAAATTGTTTTCGTTTAGTGCTTTACAACAGTTGAAATCATGTCAACACACTTCTGCGGCCCGTAATAGTAAAAATATTTTAATTTTTTTATCTTAGTTTGTAAATTGCCTCAAATTTAGTCGTCTAGACCAAATATCCTTTTATACTCGTACAAATAATTTCTAAATTTAAATAAATAAAATAGAATAAAAGACGAATTTTGCAAATAAACTTTAGAGCAGTGTTTACTCACTCCAACACTGGACTACTGGTAATTGTCTACGCTGTAAAAAAGGGATGCACTTATACACTCAAGATCAAATTGAACCAAACCATATAAACTGTGCATTCAAATCGCATAGAGAAAATACTTTTTTCTAGATTATTACATCTGCATATCTTCACACTTCAATTGGTGTGAACTTTTGCCAGTTGTTTGTCGGGTAAAATTTCATCTTGAGAGCACTATATATGTAAATGAGTGTTTCGGCAGGAATATGTTTGTTGTAGTTAGCCATATTAGCTAGCTTTATAAAGTTTTTGATATCAACAATTTATTTGCTATTTAATTCGAATTTGATAGAACATAAAAATTCTACGGTTTTAATTTTAGCTACAAAAACCTTAATGAGTAGTAACAACCTTTATTATTAGTCACAAATACAAGGGATAAAATAAAATAGTTGACTACTATATAATCAATAACTTCTATCTCACCAATGATGGTGATTTCTAATAATTATTTTGCTCTTTGTGCTCGTCAATTCTTGAGTCATTAACAATTTTCCATTTTTCCATTGTTACATATACATAGTAGTGCGTTTTTTGGGTTAACCGTTATGTAAGCGAAGTAATGAACATACTCTACGGAACATGAATCTAAAACCCGTAACTAGTTATCATACCGCTTTCTTTGTGGCATGTTGCGCAAATAATTGTACAACGGTTAGTTTATTGTATACACACATATCAACAACAACAAATAAATCAACACGTAATCAAACTTAATTACTCTATTTGAGTCTTCTAAGATTAAACAACCGTATTAATGAGTTGTAATTGTTTTAACTGAATTCGTGTATGTATGTCCTATCTAAGCGTATGGCACTTATTTATCCATTTTGTCTTTAATCAACCGTCTGAGCTTTGGTAACAAGCCGCTGGGCTTTGCTTACTTGAGTAATTTTGGGGTAAGGGGTCGCGCACAGCACAACGCTACGCACACGCGTTGACCACAACAACACATCTGTGAAAGTGTAGTTGGCCTGGGCTAAGGGCAAAACAACAAAAACAATATCAACTCTAATATCTAAATGTTTCTGGTTTTATTTTGCGGAAGCATCGAAGTCAATGTGGCTGAGGAGCGTGCAAGTGGGAGCAAGCAAACGACGGATTAGTATTTGAGAGGGATCGGATATAGATGTATTTGCTATAGTATGAATTTGGGTGTGCGGAAGTAGTGAGGTTTCCATGGAGTAAGCGGCTCCATTTAAGTTTTGTGAAATGGATAGTAAATGTTTTCAATGTCAATAAAATAACTAGGAAATGAGCTCATAATTGAAAAGTTGTTGTATACATTGTCGGTATGTGTTTACATTTGGCTCAAATTGTTACGATGTATGGTCTTCAGTTAGTCAATACTTGGTATTCAATGTGACAATCATAGTCATTCTCGTTTCTATTGTTTTCAACGTCCGGATCGTCGTCCTCATCGTAAATATCTGCACCTTCTAGCCAAAAATCAAATCACAGATCCAATGAGTCTGGTGGGGTCGGTTTTGTCGGTAGTACTCCAAATGGATCGTCCACAACAACACTCACATCGATCTCATCATCATCGTCCACCTCATGTTCATCGCCCATAAATATGCATTCCTCCACATCAGTATCGTAGGAAGGATCAATGTTTACCTCCTGTAGGTTCATATCCAACTCAAGTAGATCCCAAGATCCACCAAATTGCGCCAGTGGTATGTCTTTGGCAACATTTGATTTTTTGCGCTCTTCTCCCGTATCTACCTTCCCACTGACATCAGTGTCTGAGCAAGTGCTAATATCAATTTTGTTTTGTGTTTTTATATTTTGAGTGGGAACAAAATCATTAGAGAAAGCATCTGAATTGCATGGCTGTGAGGAGAGCGATATATTCGGTGTGGGAGTGTCAGGAGTCGTCAGTGAGAGATTTTGCGAGTCATTTGGTCGCGCCACATCGGTTTCGTCAATAAAGGAGCGTCCCACAGAGCTAAGCGAAAACTCTAGTAACTTAGGGGGTCTACTGGTGGTAGCAATTGCGGAGCTTGTCACAACGCTGCGCACACTTCGAGCTGGCGTTGACATTGCCGCTTGAGTGGTGTGGAATGCACTATCGCTACGTCGAGGAGATCGTGCACTACTCTTGGCTGTCGTTGTTACACAATAACGCCCTTGTCCGTCGATTAAAAGCAGTCGTTCGCCTCCGTCAGCGCAACGTTGTTGCAAGAAAAATGTGTCGATATCATGTTTTGTATCGGCAGCAGCGGGCTCACATGCTGCCTCTGGGATAGCGGTGAGACACTTGCAAGTGGGCAAATGCTCTCCGGAACATAAAGTTTGTGTGTTCAGGCTGCTGCCACTTAAGCTGAGCCAAGTACTTGAGTTATTTGCGCTTGAATTGTATGCACGAGCAGCCGCCAAAGGTCGCGCATCCAGCTGCTGGGCAACTAAATGGCGGCGCGTTAATGTTAATGAGCGCAGCGATGGTGCACTGTCTGTAAGACCACCAAGCGCAGCAATACCACAACCACCATGACCCCCAAGACAACCTGTGAGTGTGTGGCGCGCCGGCGATGCTGTTTGGGAGGAACAGGAAGCAGTTCGCGTGGTTTGGGTCATACGTGTACTGCAGCGCGAAGCGACCAGTGTGCTGGCGAGACGTTGTAGGTTTTCATAGGAATCGCCGGTTGCCAAATGGCCACCCTGACGTAATAAACGCACCTGTTGCTGATTGTTTTTTGCGTTGATGCTGTCCATGGATGAGTGCTTGATCGAGCCAATGGATGCAGATGCAATTCCGATATCACTAAGTGGCACTAGAGTATTAAGCACATCGGGAGAATCTAGTGGACTTGAGAGCGGCGTCGAGCCAAGGGCGGCATTTACCAAAAAACTGCAAATAATTATAATTAATGTAGAAATTTAAAACAACTTTGAAAAATAACCCACATTTGACGTTGTAAGAGATTCTGCCAGACAGCTTTTAACTCTAAAGAGGGCGCTCGCAGCAGAAGACTCTTTCGACGAGCACTTTTCTTGGGTGTGCGAGTAAGGTCCGGTGCACAATAGCCGGTTGGGCTCTCGGCCAAGCGTCCGTTCGGATCGACTGTAAGACGGAACTCTGTGGCTGCGGTACAAATGAAAATTGATTAATAATTGCTCTCGACTGGGTATCGAATTCAGACTAACTTTTTTTACGCATATGAAAACAGGAATCTACAATATTCGCAATAGGAATAGGCTCCTCGGTTATGAATAAGACGCGGTCTCGGCTGACCTTTGCAAACACGATGATATCACTAAAGAGCAGGGTCCAGTAAGGTTTCACGGAGCGGCCTTCCACGCGTGACAGATCGCCACCAAATATCCATTGGCGTCCTTGTACGGCCAGCGTGAATGGTTTGCACTTAGTGAAGACCATGCGGGACTCGAGATCTTGCAACGTGAGCAAAGGCCGGCCTTCGCCAAGTGGCTCCATTAAGCCACTGCTCACAGTAATTTCGCGATACGCGGCCTGAAGCTCAGCGATTACAGTAGTGAAATTTTTATGTTCCTCGGTATCGACATGACAGTTGGAAGCGAGCAGTTGCATTAGCTTCAATATTTCACGAAAATGCTGCAAGGGTCTATGAATAAACATCGTAAGGTCTGGGCGTTTTCGCGGCACTTGTGGTTCTGTAATGAAGGCTACAAACTCCGAGCCCATTTGTCGCGACTTGTTTACCTGGAAAATGTTAATATTATATTAAAATGTAAATTATTACGATTACGCGATAAGCAAACGTACTAGTACACAGTCGGCTCGCTTGATGCCATTGCAATACTTTTTATATGCCGCACAAATAGCTGTGGTTTTCGAAAGATACACACGGGAGGCAAAGTTCATTTGTGGTTCCTGATCATCATTGCACAGTTGTTCCAGTATATCCTCGGAGATGCGCAACAGCTCGTCAATGTTCTGAAAGAGTGTTCGATGATCATTTGGCGATATGAGATCTTTGCGGTCTTGCAACGGCTGAACGAAACGCTGCATGCCGAAGTGCAGCGCTGCGATAAAGTTCTGTTCGCGGCTGATCAGTTGCAACAGTAAACGGCGACGGTTATCTGTAATCGGCCCGATAGACTGGGACGGGAAAAAAGTTTATATATACTGCTTAGTGTTTGTTAAAAACGAGGTGATGCGATGCTATGTCTTCTACACGGGATTGTGAAATTCTAAAATTGGGAAACTAAAAACATTTTTTCGAAAATAAACATACTTAAATAAATTTTTATTAAGCATTTATTGTCAACATAGCAGCATTTTTAAATGTACAACAAATGGCATTAATAAACATAAACTTAAACAAAAACGCAAAGTTAAGTTAATTCTAATAAGTATCAGCAATGCGTGCCAAAAAAAAATGCGAAGTAACAGCACAGTTTCATAAAAAATAAACTTCAAATTGTGGTTACAAAAAACTAATTAAATATATGTATTTAGGGGATTCATCTTATAATTACACCTATAGGGTTTGAGGATTACCAATTGGTTGGTGCTAATGTATGGAGTAAAATAATGATTACATAAGAAAACTTAAAAGATTCCAATGGCACATGATTGTGTACGTGGTGTACTGCTTAAAAAAATTCACTTGGTTTTGTTTGTCTCACTCGACTATAGAGTGCTCAAGTTTTAATATCTAAAAATATAACTTAAATGTAAATGGCTTAACTCTTCTAAAACACTGACATTTTCACTCGGTTGGGAGCGTCAGTTGAGGCAACTTTGTGCTTTTACACATATTTTCAAATTATATAAAAACAAAACATACAGATAAATAATCAATAATAATAATAATGAGTAAAATTATTGAGTGAAAATGGCCAAAATTTATTCAACCCCAAACTTAAACATATAAATTCGTTCACAATATTTTGGCACTAGTCTTTTTTAACCCTTAAAATGCATGCCCTCTGTCTTCGCTTATACAATGACACCTTTGCCTACCTCCTTGCTGAACGTAACCTGCGGTAGGTGCAGTCGCCGCTTCGCCGCCTCAATGGATGAGGTAGTGCCGCCGGAACAGGCTGTGGACGGACGTACGGTCGTGACAGCAACTGTTGCTGTTGGTCCTGCAGTTACTGTTGGTGCCGCAGACGGCACGCCGACACGGCGTGATGAAAGCGTTGGACCGCCAGTAACTGACTGCTGCTCATCGCTTGTGGTACTAGCTAAACGCGTGTTTGGTGTGGCTTTTCCATTCATTACCGGTGCAGGTGGATGTCCGCGGCTGCTAACACTGAGGGCTGGTGGCATGGAGCCGAGTCCTACACCTCCTGCGGGTCCGGTTCGTCTGAAAACCTCTAGCGTTAGCGTAGAGCCTTGTGAACGTATTAAGTTGAGCACATCCGCTTCTGGCATGGTTACTACATTTTGTTTGTCTACAAAAATCACATAGTCGCCCGGCTGTATGCCGGCCCGATCAGCAGAGAGCCCTGGTTCTATCTTTTCGACACGCGGCGGATGTGTCCACACAATGGAAAATCCGAAGCCACGCTCAGCGGTACGCGTCAGTTTTTTAGTCATAGTGAAGGGTGTACGACCAACGGTTTTACTAGTAGCGGACAGACGACGTCCGCCAGAAGCGGATGGTGTGGCACTGGTGGCATTAGTAGGCGCTGTATCTGTGGGTGGGTCCAACTCGAGAAAACGTAAAAACAGATTTTCATCGGCATCACGCTGATGCAAAGCCTTCCGGCTCAATGTCATCGGATGCTCAATATTGTTGCCAGCTGTCGCCTGAGCCATGCTGTCGATGCTCATGACATCCTCTTCGCTTTTCTGTCTTGTCAGCGTTGATGTCATTGTGCATATGCCGGTGGCGACACTTGTCTCCGGAACAGCTGTCTGGGGCTGCGAGTGGGAATTTAAGTGAATGAATTTGTCGTTTTGGTTATTCCGTGACGTTGGGCTCGGGGTTTGATGAGCCTGACTGTGGACCTGTGCTGGGTGTGTAACTCCGGCCGGATACTGCAATAATATTGGCGACTGAGGTCTATTCAGACATGCCTGCGATTGCAGTTTATAGAATCCATTAACGGGTTGCTGCAGCAAAGTGTGTAGTGGAAAGGACATGCATCCTAAAAACTCGCTGCGTCTGTAAAGAGTAGTTGAGGGGTAATATTAGTATAAAAATTCATTTTGATTTTCAAAGATATATATATATATGTATATATGTATAAGAGATAATGATAAAAGTAAATATTTTACTACTTAGCTCTGTGCAAAACTTTTATTTAACTTTATTATTATGATATTTTCATTTCAGTACTTCAACCAAAAACCAAGCAGATAATCTGTCTTATCCGTCTTGTTGCTGTGAGGCGAGCGAACTGAAATTGCAACTGAATTCTTCCGCTTTGTAGACAAGAATTTGTAATGTGAGACTTTATCCTACCACCTAATCACTGCCAAGTGAAAAGACTATAAATTCAAGTCGGCTCCTTCATCCGATAACCTTCGCCGACACCCACAAGCTATCCTATCAAGCAACAAAAAATGCCGGAAGCAGAAAGAAAAGAAAAAAATTGCTTAGCTCAAGAAACAGTAAACGAAAATTGCTGCGAAGAAACTATCAGCAACGTTAACAGTGACAGTGCAATTCCATACACAATGACGAAAATAAGCCAAAAGCAACTACTACATACAGTTACAAGTTGCTGGGAGTAAGCAAGAACAATTTCCGCCAAATTTCATATGAACTAGTACAAGACCACTTGTCGACGTCAGAAGGGTGTGTGTGTGTGGGACTTCGTATGAGGCAATATTTTACGTCAGCGATTGGCTGTTAAGTGTACTGCAAAGTGGCTGACAGTATAACGTTCCATCAGCATCAACACCCCTTACTCTACGGCAACAACAAAAAACACGAATATTTCAATGCAAAATCCAAAAAGAGAAATGCATGCAGCGCCGAGAAGTTTATGTAAATGGACAACCACCGAATTTATGAGCAAAGTGACGAAAAAGTGAGTGCAAAAAATTTTACATATGTTAATACATATATATATTATAGAACGGTTCGAATTTTTTCCATAAAATCTCCAAGGGCAAAAAATAGTAAGACTTTGAACATAATTTTAAAATTCTTAATGTAAACAATAATCACCGAAAGCTTTTTCCAACATTATGAACGTTTCGGCATCAGAAATTTGACTCCGCACATAAAGTTTAATGGCATTTCTTTGTTGCATAATTTCACGTATCGTAAAAATCGCCAAATACACATGACGTTAACAGTAATGATATTTGGCATAGATGCTACTGACAGTCGTACAAACCTAAAAAAAAAAAATTTCGACGAATGGGTCTTCGCGCGAAACCCCAAATTAAAAAGTCTTACTATTTTTGCTTACAGTAGTATGCTAGAAATGTTCTACGAATCATTTTGAACAAATTTACCTAAAAGATTATGTGTCAATCCAACAAAGTTTAAAAAATCTGAACAATCAGTTATATTCGATATATATAGTTGTCCGCTTCCAACAAAATGATCAAGGGAATATCAAAAGAATTTATTGAATTTCATTCGCAAATCTCAAAAATCGGTAAACAAATTTTTATGATCCCTAACAAACTTCCGACCGTCCGTCCATCTCTACATTCGAATATATTGCACACGTCCTTTTCTCCCAACAAAAGCTGCTCATTTCTCCTAACTAATATCGGATAACTATAGCATATAGCTTCCTCAATTTGTAAGGCGAGCGGAATCAAGTTCTGGTGAAAGCTTTTTCATTTGTCGAGATATCTTCACGAAATTTGGCATGGGTTATTGTCTAAGGCCATACGAACTGACCGATCGAAATCCAGTACTTGTAATGAATCCTTATTTTTGAAGGGTTTAAGAGCTTCGGTGCAACCAAGGTTAACGTTATTGATTTGCAGTTATTTAGTTTAATTTAAGTTAATTTTTATTACATAACATTAAATGCCTGTCAGCGCATACACGCGTGTTTCCAAAATTACTCTCTAACTGGCGAATTATCGAAGAAAATTTAATGTTACTACCGAAGCCTTTTTCAAAATTTTGCATTTTCATTTAAAATTCTAATTTTTAAGCCGATAAAAACTCATCATGAGTACACCTCTTTTACACTCGATCAGAGTTGTACATTTTTATTTCTTTGTTGGTCTGTTTCCCTGATTTCAATACAATAAAATTTCCAACTTACAATAATTGGTCTTGAATTTGTGTCAACGGACATTGTTCACGAAGGAAATGTGTTTATAGCCAAACAAAACACGAAATTAAGAATTGCTTGTAAAAGACATGCTGCATTTTATGGTTCTGCCATAATATTATACCAAAAAGTGTACAGAAACTGTTCGACTTTTTCAACAACAAATGTAATCTAGTGACTTCTATATCATAAGCGGTCAGCGTCAAAATTTATGTGCGAGGGTGGTTCGTCTTGCGCGGCGGTAATCGATTTTAATTCGGCGACAGTTTACTTCCACTGATTTGTCGGGTTTTTTCACTTTCTTACAACTTTCCGCTATTGTTTTCTTACTGCATTTCAGCGCTCAACTTTGATCGATTTGCTCTAGTTTAGGCCGCTTTGTCTTCTTTGTTGATTGTTTTAATGTGTGTGTTTGCGTTGTTTTGCCGTTATGCTTATTATTATGTGAGCTCAAAAGCACAAAAGCTGAAATGTAGAACTTTTTTTGGAATTCAGAATGCAAATTGTACACGCAGAAATAGGAAAACAAGCAATCAGTCACATGACAAGAAATATTTATGGAATTGAATTTATTAATTCTTTATCAGTAAGGCAAATATCAATTTTGTTAAACTTTCTCGCACTAATTTTTCGAGAGTATTTTCCTTCAATATTTCTGGATGCTACTTTTCTCCTGCACTCCTTAGACAGCTTAGACAGCAGACTGTTCCTTAGTGTACATAATTGCTTTGCTTTTATTTTCTGCAATTAACTTTTTGAGCTGTTTTCCTTCACCGCTTTGTGTCTAAAAGTAGTTATCAGAAATCCTTATTTCCCATTAATTCCATGTATTTAACTAGTAAGCAATTCACCGGTTTTTATAAATGCTTTCATAACGCGCTCAGTATAACCGTATGCTCCGCTCGTGGTGTGGCCTTAAATTAAAAGCTTCAAATTTCTTCTTGGCGTGCTATCGGTCATCGGGTTTTATTTGACCCAACGCCCTTTAATGGGAAATTAATTGCAATTTGCCACAATTTACACATTTCCGTGTTTACAACGAGGTCATTCCGGGCGTACAAGTGATATAAGCTGTGCACGCCTGAAAGTATGCTCGTTTGCTTTGCCCTCCAGTGCAGCAGTATGACTTTCGTATTTGAGTGTTATTGTGGTGTGTAAACAAAGGCTTACATGCTGCCTTGTTGCCAATGCAAATCGCCACAAATGTAAGTGTTGTCAGCAAGCATGAACCAATTCTTTACTTTGGAAGGTGTCTGTAGTTGCAGTGAGCACCGGACGAGTCGACAAATTGACCGAGCAACCAATCAGATGCGGTTGAGCAATGAATCAGAGCCTTAGCTAAGCCCTGCATAGTGTCCTGACGTGTGCGTATTATTTGTGCACTGCCAGTTTCAAATAGGCGACAAGAACAATCAAATGCAGGGAGCGAAAAGCGATACTTAAAGCAATAATAAAACTACATAAATACATTGTTTGTGGCGGCAAGCACACAAGAGGAAAAGTGTGTTTGTGTTACACGGAGCAAGCAAAAAACCAACCACAAAATTGTCAATCAATGACAACAGCCAGGAAAGTTTTCTCGCACATCTGTCGGATGTGTTTCTACTGAAGTTCAGTTTATTCAAATTTTATTTCTAGTCGCCTGCAATCCATGTGCTAAGTGAAAGTGAACCATGTAGGGGATAGGGGTAAGTTGGGGACATATTTAATTGTGAGTGGTCAGCGAGATACGTCAGAAATTCCTGGGAATATAGAGAACTTTTTTGAACATGGCTTACCTACTGCGGTTATATGCTTACAATAGCGAAATAAATTTAGTTAAATTTACATAGTTAGAGTGCGGGACATTAAATGAGAGCAGGAAGTTAGGGCGTGAACAGGTCTCAAACATTCCTGCATAAGCATCGTTTTTGCACACGCAATAATTTCTCGACAACTTCACTCAACCGCTTTCGATTTTTTCAATTTTTTTTTTTTACAATAAATTAAATTAAAATAACCAAGTTTCTCAGCGGCGGAATTCGCGTGTTCACACATCGCTAATGCCACCGGGACATACGGCGCTCAATTAAATGTGGTATACACGTAAGTTCAATCTTTTGGTTTGTGTTAAAATTTTAAACTTTTGTATACGTAAATTTAAGCCATCCAACACTAAGCAGTAATCAAAATTTTAATTGTAATTTTTAGTATAAAGATCGAAGTTTTATATTATTGCGTAGCTCGTTGTGGTAAAACTACTCAAATGATTCTTTCCTCCAATAAAACATACCAGTGCGTTCAAATTCGCCAACTTTCCAATGAAATGGCATAATTTCACTTCATTTTAACGCCAGGTTGTATTTCAGAAAGCTAAAGTAACGAAAATAACATGAAATTGTGCAAAAAGTTAGGCGTTTAGAGAAATGACTAAGCATACTGCCGCAGAAACTCTCAAAAGTTTACAGTCGAAACCATAAGAGCATGTGAAACATGTTTACGATCTTACAAAAACCTAAAGTGTAGGCGAGTGTTATGAGCTAAAGGGTGTTCGTAATTAAAAATAGTGAAGTTAACAGAACGCCCAAAAGCTATTTTCCATACTAAAACACTTCTAGCAAAATAAAAAAAATGGATTCTATTGGGTAGTCGAAAAAGTCTTATTGTATTTCAAACAACTTCAACTTATTTTTTTTTTTATGTATCGTATAATGAACTTTAATGAACCAAATATGTAGCATTTTGGTCGACCACGATTTGCCACGTTTTGCCACTTTCCGCTAGAGACATTTCTCGGCGAAAAACTGCGACAAGTAGTTTTCACAGGCTTCTCTTGAAGCCAACTTTACTCCGTTAAGGGAATTCTGAATTGGCCGAAACAAATGTTAGTCCTTTGGTGCAAGGTAAGGGCAAGTGTGTGGTCTAGCGTTGTCCT